CCGATTTTTTGTACTTTTTTTTTTTTTTTATGTGCAAGTTTCTTTGTTTCTGTGGGGGGGTCTTACTGTGTTACTGGAGTATATAAAATTGTGGAGCCAATTTTTAGATTTCCCTTTCAGCTGGCTGAGAAATATGGGAATGCTTTTAAAGCACTGACAATGATGGCGATTCACTCATTCAATGACCCCACAATAAGTTTTTGCCAAATGCCAGAATTCAGTGTCTGTTATCTGTCTACTGAGGGGACAGATTTACTGATAGCGCACAGACTTCTACTAGAGTACAGAATAGTTCAAGTTCTGACTGGTCTTCATAATTCTATTCCTCAAAAGTAGCCCTGTTTTTACGTTGGTACATTTCTGTTGCTGGAGGACAAAGAACATCAGGGTGGTTCAAAGAACACCAACTGCAGTTCAGGGAGCTTCTCTTCCCAAAGCCTTGCTAGGTAACATACTCTTTTAGGCTAGGCTTACATGGCAACTTTTGTCCCACGATTTGACCACTTGTTTACAGCACGTTATGTCAATGTGCTGAAAATGAGGTGACTGAGAGGAAATGGTTAAAGTAGACCATAAGACGCATGCGCACACACACGCACACACATGTCTTCCTGCAAGAGGTGTGACGAGTGTGTAGATGGCTCTCTAAAGTGAGAGGGAATCCCAGCTCATGTTCACCATATCTATATCGGGTAAATCTCAACAGACAATGGAATCCTAAAAGGCTCCGACCCTTCCCCAAATCAAATCTACAAATGTTTTGACTGGAGTTCTACTTCATGTCTATTACCATAAGATTAAAATCTCCGATTGAGCCCTGGCTTCACTTATACAAGCTCCTATGTAACACATGTGTCTATAAGAACTGAACTTCCATTAAGATTTCTATCCTAGTTATCATTAAAAAAAAAAAGAAAATGCTCCAGGCAGCCAGTGGCCAAATGTTTTCCAGGTACATGGGTCACATGGCTTTTATCATTTTAGGCTTTACATTTGCTCAAGCCTCCAGGTTTGTTTTTTTAACTGATAACAAAACCGAACGCACCAATGAAGACTGTAAAGGAAGTGGGTCAGCTCTGACTATTTTGCACATTTTAAATACAGATTACAATATAATACAATATTAAATGATATCTTCTGCTGGTTTCACAGTGCTCCCTCCAGTCTCCCCTCTGCTGCAGCTTTGGAATCTTCCTCAGCGTCCTCACGTTTATACATTGTGTATAGACATGATGATTTATGGGACCTTAGACCGCTGCAGAGGGGGAGAGGCTCCCGGGACCAGTCTAAGAACAAGCTGGCTGAGTGCATCGGGTGAGAGTAGCTTTTTTTT